CTCTGGCCTCTCACTGGTCTATCTCTGGTCTCTCTCTGGTTTCTCTCTGGTCTCTCTCTCTGGTCTCTCTCTCTGGTCTCTCTCTCTGGTCTCTATCTCTGGTCTCTCTCTGGTCTCTCTCTCTGGTCTCTCTCTCTGGTCTCTCTCTGGTCTCTCTCTGGTCTCTCTCTGGTCTCTCTCTGGTCTCTCTCTGGTCTCTCTCTCTGGTCTCTCTCTGGTCTCTCTCTCTGGTCTCTCTCTCTGGTCTCTCTCTCTGGTCTCTCTCTGGTCTCTCTCTGGTTTCTCTCTGGTCTCTCTCTGATCTCTCTCTGGTCTCTCTCTGGTCTCTCTCTCTGGCCTCTCACTGGTCTATCTCTGGTCTCTCTCTGGTTTCTCTCTGGTCTCTCTCTCTGGTCTCTCTCTCTGGTCTCTCTCTGGTCTCTCTCTCTGGTTTCTCTCTGGTCTCTCTCTCTGGTCTCTCTCTCTCTGGTCTCTCTCTCTCTGGTCTCTCTAACTGGTAGAGTAGACGCTGTTCTGTCTCTGCACATAATCCAATATGAATCCAATATTCTGCTCTGCTCCAAACGCCAGAGAGAGAGAGAGAGAGACTAAGAGGAGGGAGAGAGACCAAGGGGAGAATGCGAGACCAGGAGGAGAGAGATAGAAATAACCTCATTATCTCATGTTATGGTCAAAATGAAGATGAAAAAATGATATTCCTTCTTTAAAGGACAACTCAGCCTCAAATCCACTTTTTTTTGCTGATAAACAGTATAAATAAGTGTCCAATAGTGTTGTCTACATATCCTGGTCATAATTTTGTCACTTTGGTGCAAATTAGTTGAAAGTTAAACTTTCTGCCTAAAACCGTCTGTGAGGCGCCATCTGCTGGCGACCTGTGTTACTACATTTGAATTTTGAATCTGGCGCCAACACTGGCGCGGCAGCAAGACCTGACGTCTGAAGCAAGACCTGACGTCTGAAGCAAGACATGACGTCTGAAGCGAGACCTGACGTCTGAAGCGAGACCTGACGTCTGAAGCGAGACCTGACCTGAAGCGAGACCTGACGTCTGAAGCAAGACCTGACGTCTGAAGCAAGACCTGACGTCTGAAGCAAGACCTGACGTCTGAAGCAAGACCTGACGTCTGAAGCGAGACCTGACGTCTGAAGCGAGACCTGACGTCTGAAGCGAGACCTGACGTCTGAAGCGAGGCCTGACGTCTGAAGCAAGACCTGACGTCTGAAGCGAGACCTGACGTCTGAAGCGAGGCCTGACGTCTGAAGCGAGACCTGACGTCTGAAGCGAGACCTGACGTCTGAAGCGAGACCTGACGTCTGAAGCAAGACCTGACGTCTGAAGCAAGACCTGACGTCTGAAGCAAGACCTGAAGTCTGAAGCGAGACCTGACGTCTGAAGCGAGACCTGACGTCTGAAGCGAGACCTGACGTCTGAAGCAAGACCTGACGTCTGAAGCAAGACCTGACGTCTGAAGCAAGACCTGACGTCTGAAGCAAGACCTGACGTCTGAAGCAAGACCTGACGTCTGAAGCGAGACCTGACGTCTGAAGCGAGACCTGACGTCTGAAGCGAGACCTGACGTCTGAAGCGAGGCCTGACGTCTGAAGCGAGACCTGACGTCTGAAGCGAGGCCTGACGTCTGAAGCGAGACCTGACGTCTGAAGCGAGACCTGACGTCTGAAGCGAGACCTGACGTCTGAAGCAGACCTGACGTCTGAAGCGAGACCTGACGTCTGAAGCAAGACCTGACGTCTGAAGCGAGACCTGACGTCTGAAGCGAGACCTGACGTCTGAAGCAAGACCTGACGTCTGAAGCAAGACCTGACGTCTGAAGCAAGACCTGACGTCTGAAGCAAGACCTGACGTCTGAAGCAAGACCTGACGTCTGAAGCAAGACCTGACGTCTGAAGCAAGACCTGACGTCTGAAGCAAGACCTGACGTCTGAAGCGAGACCTGACGTCTGAAGCGAGACCTGACGTCTGAAGCGAGACCTGACGTCTGAAGCGAGACCTGACGTCTGAAGCAAGACCTGACGTCTGAAGCAAGACCTGACGTCTGAAGCAAGACCTGACGTCTGAAGCGAGACCTGACGTCTGAAGCGAGACCTGACGTCTGAAGCGAGACCTGACGTCTGAAGCAAGACCTGACGTCTGAAGCAAGACCTGACGTCAGCAGCAAGACCTGACGTCTGAAGCAAGACCTGACGTCTGAAGCAAGACCTGACGTCTGACGTCTGAAGCGAGACCTGACGTCTGAAGCGAGACCTGACGTCTGAAGCAAGACCTGACGTCTGAAGCAAGACCTGACGTCTGAAGCAAGACCTGACGTCTGAAGCAAGACCTGACGTCAGCAGCAAGACCTGACGTCTGAAGCAAGACCTGACGTCTGAAGCAAGACCTGACGTCTGAAGCAAGACCTGACGTCTGAAGCGAGGCCTGACGTCTGAAGCAAGACCTGACGTCTGAAGCAAGACCTGACGTCTGAAGCAAGACCTGACGTCAGCAGCAAGACCTGACGTCAGCAGCCCCCCGCCCAGAGCAATGTAAACGGCCCAGTCTCGTTCACGCCCCCTTTAGTCCTCCAGGCCACGCCCATTTAGAGGAAGATTTGAACAGGAAATGTGAGTGACGTAAGCTCCGAGGAGCGGGAGTGAGAACCACTTTAAGTTGGAAAAAGTATTAAAAGTGAAAGTAGAACCTGAGCTGACGACACTCGGCCCAAAGACTGTGGATTCACTTCTTCAAATGTTCCCAATTCTTTCCAGTTGCAGCAGAAGAATCCCTCATCAGGCGACAGCACACTCCAGAGAACAACATCGATCTGATTGTGCTTCTGTCCTGGTTTACGGTCTTCCTGGTTTACGGTCTTCCTGGTTTACGGTCTTCCTGGTTTACAGTCTTCCTGGTACAGACCATAAGCCACAACAACTCCAGGAGAGATAATTAATTCGAGACGCTTCCTCGATTTTAATCTCTCGCTCTGTTCCCACTGGTTCCTGTGAAGAGGTTTTGGAGCTAAAGATGTTTGTGAGACTGGTGCTCATCACTGACATGTGGGGTCAGGGGTCAGGGGTCAGGGGTCGGGACTGGGACCATTATTCATATTCAATGTTTACGTATTAGTATAAGTTCATCTCAAGAAATAACAATTGTAAAACACAAAACAACAGTTTCAGACTCACTCAGGACTCGCTGCCGTTTCCAGAACCTTCCAATTAAACATAAATATGGAACGTCTATAATTATGAAATTAATGTCACATGTTTTTATTTTTTATTTGTGATAAACTGAACTGAACTGGACTGGACTGGTCTGGACTGGACTGGACTGGACTGAACTGAACCAACATTTAATGGTTTGGTGACGACTGCATTTAAAACAGAAATACAGAAGTCTAACCCAGACTCAGAGATTCTCATCATCACATTAGTCCTGACGAGAACCAGGAAGTACCATCACATTAGTCCTGACTAGAACCAGGAAGTACCATCACATTAGTCCTGACTAGAACCAGGAAGTACCATCACATTAGTCCTGACGAGAACCAGGAAGTACCATCACATTAGTCCTGACTAGAACCAGGAAGTACCATCACATTAGTCCTGACTAGAACCAGGAAGTACCATCACATTAGTCCTGACGAGAACCAGGAAGTACCATCACATTAGTCCTGACTAGAACCAGGAAGTACCATCACATTAGTCCTGACGAGAACCAGGAAGTACCATCACATTAGTCCTGACTAGAACCAGGAAGTACCATCACATTAGTCCTGACTAGAACCAGGAAGTACCATCACATTAGTCCTGACTAGAACCAGGAAGTACCATCACATTAGTCCTGACTAGAACCAGGAAGTACCATCACATTAGTCCTGACTAGAACCAGGAAGTACCATCACATTAGTCCTGACTAGAACCAGGAAGTACCATCACATTAGTCCTGACTAGAACCAGGAAGTACCATCACATTAGTCCCAGTCTCAGGTCTCCGGTTTTTACAAGTCTCTCCATGGCCTCGTAGCAGAGTACATCTGCTAAGAGCTGCAGAGTGAGAAGGTGCCGGACGACTCTGGGTCAGTCTGCATTCTCAGTGAAGGCCTCACATCTGTGGAACTCTTTGCCGCTGGAGCTGAAGTCACAGTCGGACACTAGACTTTTCTCCACTAAACTGAAAAAGTGGCTTAAGGAAAATCAGAAGTGTGAGCACTAAACATGAATGTAGTATGGACAAATGGGGTCAGTTATTTTTATTGATGTGTGGTTGTTCTTTTCTCCCCTTTTAAAAAAAAACTTGTTTCTTCGCTTTCTCCAAAAGCCTAACCAGGGACGGGGGCTGCAAATTAGCCTTTGGCTAGAAGCCTTGTGTACTTCACATCGGTTACCTGTGGGTGACAATGTTTTTTTTGTACTGTCCCTGTCAAATAAATAAATAAATAAATAAATAAAAATCTGAGACATAAGAGTGTCATATGAACCAACTCTGAGGAGCACAGGGACCGGCCTCCTGCTGGGACTCTGAGGAGCACAGGGACTGGTCTCCTGCTGGGACTCTGAGGAGCACAGGGACTGGTCTCCTGCTGGGACTCTGAGGAGCACAGGGACTGGACTCCTGCTGGGACTCTGAGGAGCACAGGGACTGGCCTCCTGCTGGGACTCTGAGGAGCACAGGGACTGGACTCCTGCTGGGACTCTGAGGAGCACAGGGACTGGCCTCCTGCTGGGACTCTGAGGAGCACAGGGACTGGACTCCTGCTGGGACTCTGAGGAGCACAGGGACTGGACTCCTGCTGAGACTCTGAGGAGCACAGGGACTGGCCTCCTGCTGGGACTCTGAGGAGCACAGGGACTGGACTCCTGCTGGGACTCTGAGGAGCACAGGGACTGGCCTCCTGCTGGGACTCTGAGGAGCACAGGGACTGGACTCCTGCTGGGACTCTGAGGAGCACAGGGACCGGCCTCCTGCTGGGACTCTGAGGAGCACAGGGACTGGACTCCTGCTGGGACTCTGAGGAGCACAGGGACTGGACTCCTGCTGGTCCCAGAGTCAGGACTAAAAGCCCGTCCTGCTCAATGTCTATTCTCTCAGACATGAACAAACGAACGATCCTGATCCAGAGACATCGGGAGGAGACTGTTCGAGGTCTTTCACAGAATCTCGTGAATCTTTGTAATTAAAAAGGTTCAGTTCTGAGCTGTGTGTGTTTGCATCTGTGCGATTGTCTGAGAGCGTGACGCAGCTTTCGGAGCATTCAATGAATTAAAAATAACCGATGTCACGGAACATTCAGACACGGCTGCGAACGCTCTCCCTCTTTTCAGTCCTTCAGCGCTCGACATTGTTCTAATGTTTTATAGGTACATAGAAACCCTTTAGAACAGAGACGGACGAGAGCAGGTTGAAGTCAAAGCGGAACGTTTTATTTATTGTCCTCCCCCCAGCAACATACCACCAGCATACAAAGGTTCCTACCCAGCCTATCACTACATCCCCCTTTCTTTACAGGAACAAATTTTAGTGTAGCAACATTAGATTTGTTATCACATGTGCTGGAGAGGTTGAAATTATATGCCATCAATACGTTCACATTGTGTACCCAGGAAAAACAACTTATAATGAAATTGGTAATAACATTTTCTTTTGTATCTTAAAGAACGTATTTATTTATAACTACATGGTGAGAAGAACGAGGGAATGGGGTAGACTGCCCAATCCCTAGAGTTGAATATGGGGATTATTCTGCCCCGAAATAACGTCAACTATGTTGCATAATCTTTAAGGTACTCCGGTGTCTTCCTGATGCGAGAAGGATAGCGACTTTCAGACTCGGGTGTTTGCTGGTTAGATTCATGGAGTACAACAGGTGAGACCGGTCTATTCACAGTCTCTGTAGGGTTGCTTTCCGCCATATCCGGGACGGTGATGTGTGGCTCAGGAGCTACAGGTGTGCGTGAGAGATGGTACCTGTTTCTCCGGAGATTGCCGCCCGACGTTTCAATGATGTAGGATCTTGGTGTGTCTGTAGTAGACACTACAGTTCCTCTCTGTTGCATGTCCTTTACCCACACATGGTCTCCAGGATGCAAGCTGGGCATGTTGTGAGCTCTGTGTCTTTTGTCAAAGTTCAGTTTTTGTTTTTGTCTGTAACTCTGTTCTTTCTTCTTCACTTTTCCCAAATCAGCCCCTTTTGGAGTGAGCTGAGAAGGAATGACAGGAACAGTAGTACGTATCTTACGCCCCATGAGCAGTTCAGTTGGACTATAACCATTAGCTAAGGGTGAGGCACGGTAAGCCATTAAAGCTAAGTAGGGATCACTAGATTTCTTTAGTAGATTTTTGATTGTCCGTATAGCCCGCTCCACCTCCCCATTACTCTGTGGGAAGTGCGGACTGGATGTGACATGTGAAAAACCCCACATCTGTGCAAACTTTCCGAATGCTTCCGATGCAAATTGTGGACCATTGTCTGAGCGTACAACCTCAGGGATACCATGTCTAGCAAAAATAGACTTACAGTGGGTAATAACAGCTTCTGAAGTTGTACATGAAAGTTTGGCTACCTCAAAAAACCTTGAGAAGTAATCTACTACAGCGAGATACTGGTTTTTACCAAACTGAAAGAGATCCATGCCTACTGTACACCATGGTCTGGAAGGAAAGTCAGTACCTAACATAGTCTCTTTGTTGTTAACTCGCTCACGGGCACACGTGTCACATTTCTCAATGAGCTGTGTTAGATCCTTGCTAAGACCTGGCCACCATACAGATTGTTTAGCACGTTCTCTGCACTTTGTTATTCCTAAGTGGCCCTCGTGTAGTTTGTTTAGTATGTCACCCCTGAGTGTTTTCGGTATGACAAGCCTACAGCCTAACAACAACAAACCATTCTGAACCGTCAGTTCCCCCGCGAAAGGTAAGTATGGCAGAAAAGTCTTTTCAATTGAAAACCTGTCTGGCCAACCACTTACACAAAACTGCTTGAGCTGCTGCAGAATGTCATCTTTGTCCTGGTGAGTCTGTATCTCCTCGAGTCTCTTCCCAGTTGCAGGGAGGCTGGCTACGACGGTGTCAGCATAGAGGTTGATCTCCTCCTCGCGTAGTTGCTCCTCTGAACATGCTACTGGTGCTCTCGACAGAACATCAGCCGTTGCAATCTCTTTGCCAGCCACGTGTGATATGGTGAATGAAAATCTCATTAGACGCATTTTCAGACGTTGTATACGTGGAGGCAGTTCATCCAGATTTCTTGCGCCTAGCAGTGGGACTAGAGGTTTGTGGTCGGTTTGGATGTGAAAGTTATTTCCGATCAAAAACTCTGCAAATCTTTCACAAGCCCATGTTGTGGCTAGTGCTTCTTTCTCGATTTGCGCATAGCGCTGCTCTGTGGTACTCAACGCTCGTGATGCGTATGCCACTGGTTTCCAGTCTGTACTGCTAGTTTTCTGTAACAGAACAGCACCAAGTCCATAGGAAGATGAATCCGCTGAGACTAGCGTGTCCGCGGAGGGATCATACAGTGCCAGTCCAGGGGGTGTTGTCAAGTCCTGTTTTATGCTTTCAAAAGCCTGCAACTGCTGAGGTCCCCATGACCACATGTTTGTTTTTCTCAACAGATCTCTGAGTGGGCGTGTCTTCTCTGTCAAGTGTGGCAAAAACTTTCCCAGGTGGTTTGCCATCCCCAGGAACCGTCTCACCTCTGAAATGTTAGTTGGCTCTTTCATGGCCGTTACTGCGTTCAATTTATCTGGGTCGGGGCTGACTCCAGATGCCTGAATGATCTGACCTAGGAACTTGATTTTAGTCTTTGAAAATTCACACTTGTCATTCAGTGTCACACCTGCGTCTCGCAGACGTGTGAGAGCTCTTCTTAGCCTTTCGTCGTGCTCTTTTTGATCCACTCCCCAGATGAGGACGTCATCCATTTGACACACGACTCCCTCCAAGCCCTCCAGGATTTGCTGCATGCGTTTCTGGAAGTGTTCTGGCGCTGAAGAGAGTCCAAAGCACAGTTGATTGTAGCAATAGCGACCGAAGGGAGTTATAAAGGTTGTGAGCAACGATGAATCTTTTGAAAGAGGAATCTGCCAGAAACCAGCATTGGCATCTAGCTTTGAAAATACCTTGGCGCCTGAGAGCTGTCCCAATGTGTTTTCTACTGAAGGTAGCTGGTGCCTCTCTCTTAACACAGATTTGTTGAGTTGAGTCAGGTCAGAGCATATTCTCACTCGTTCTTGTGCCGGTTTGGGAACCACCACCATAGGCGCGCACCATTCTGTAGGTTGCTCCACCTTGGAGATGACTCCTTGTCGCTCCATGCGGTACAGTTCCTCTTTAACCTTTGGCAGTAGAGGGAGAGAAATGCGCCGTGGAGTTGAGATAGAGTATGGTTGAGCTCCCGGTTTAAGTACAATATTGTATTCTCCTTTCATAGTTCCAAGTCCTGTGAACAGCTCCGGAAATTCCTGCTTGACTGTTCCTTTAGTGTCCAACGTAGCTGTATCGAGCCTAGCTACTAGCTGTAGTGCAGTGGCTGCTTGCCTGCTCAGTAAAGCTGTACTTAGTCCTTCAACAACATAAATTTCTTCCATTATGCTTTTATCTTTTCTTTTGAGAGTTGCAGTAAACTTGCCTTTGACTTTTAACTGTGACCTGCCTGGCCCCATCAGCACTTTTCTGGTTTGTTTTAATTCATTGAACTGTCCTTTTACATACATGTCAGTTGGAACGGCTGTCACATCGGTGCCTGTGTCAATTTTAAACACAGCATTGCTCTTGTCCATTTTTATTTCTGTCATCCACGGATCTGACAAATCACTTGACAGTGTACCCAAAAATGAGATATCCTCTGATGAAGAATCCTCTGTTATTATTTCTACATTGACTTCATGCATTTTCTTGGACCTGCACACTCTAGCAAAATGTCCTTTCTTTTTGCAGTTATTGCATGTGACTTCTTTAGCCGGACATTGCTGATATGCGTGACCTTTTGTGTCTCCACATCTTGTGCATGGTTTAGCTTTGAAAAAGCCTTGTTTGGGCTGCATGTTGTTTTATTTGGGTCTGGCGCCCCCTTGTGGTCTCGCGCGCACAATGTCAAGTTGAGCGTTTACGACCTCTCCCTTGAAATTTGTTTTCAGCATTTCTTGTTGTTTCTTGACCATTTCACTTTGCTTTGCTTTTGTAACTGCTTTTTCTAGTGTGAGCTCTGGATCCATTTGCAACTGCTCTGATAAGCGCTTGTCTCGGAGTCCAACTACAAGTCTGTCTCTGACCATTTCGTCATGTAGCTGTCCATATCCACAGTGTTCAGCTAAACAATGCAGCGCGGTGATAAAGCTGTCAGCCGACTCGCCCATCTCTTGCTGCCGCTGATTAAACTTAGCTCTTTCAAATATTACATTTCTCCGAGCTACGAAATGAGCATCTAGCCTCTGTTTGACTGTATCGTACTCACTCATTTGTTCTGGAGTAAGATGTAGAGATACTAAAATGTCCTCAGCTTCTTCCCCCATACCGTAGATTAGTGCGTTTACTTGGTTTTCATCAGCTTGAGTTTCCAGACCTGACGCGACCCGAAACCTCTCAAAGCGTTTTATCCATTTGGTCCAGTCTTCTGCCCTGAATGTAAACTGTTCTGGTGGCTTTACTTGATATTGCGCCATTTTAACGAGCCGGCTTGTTTACAGGTTAACTCCTTTAGCGTTAGCTCCCGCCTAGCTGTGCTAGCTGCCGCAGACTGAAGTTATTTTTAACTTTAGTCTTTTCTTGTTGGCGACTTACTCTCATCTGGTTGTCTCCTCTTTTCGAAATTGTTGGGCACCACTTCTGACACCATGTTCTAATGTTTTATAGGTACATAGAAACCCTTTAGAACAGAGACGGACGAGAGCAGGTTGAAGTCAAAGCGGAACGTTTTATTCATTGTCCTCCGCCCAGCAACATACCACCAGCATACAAAGGTTCCTACCCAGCCTATCACTACAGACATCAGTGGGTTTGTCTGGAGCCGCAGCGAGGGAGGGGCCCATTAGCATGTCTTTAACGCCGCTAAATGCTAATTAGCTCGTGTGAGATCGCCATGACGACAGCCTCTGACTTCCTCCGGGGTTAAGGCCGTGACACGAGACGCTTTCGGGCGCATCCGATTCAGACGCTTCAGATTCAGAGACTTTGGTCGCTCGTCACAGACACGTTATTCTTCAGGTCTGACACCGAAGTCAACAACAACAATCCATTTACTTTAGAATGTTCTGGAGTTAGCAGCGAGTCCTGAGTCGCTCTCAAGCTGTCGTTTTGTGTTTTACAATCGTTATTTTTCTTATTTGACAGTGTTCCTGGTTTTAAACCGATCCAGACCAGGGCAGAGCGGATTATTTCTTAAAAATGATAATAAAGCGTTAGGAATTTCACTCTGAACCAGAGCAGGGAAATGGTCAGAACCAAACAGACTCTGCAAGGATCAGAGGAAGCAGCGCCACCTGCTGCTGCACTTTATTACTGTTATTAGTCACTTTTACAACGATGTATTTATGTGTCTCTTGTTGTATATTTTAAATATACACTAAACAGATGTGACAATATTTGACCATTTGAACTCTAATTTTCATCATAGCCAAAAAAGACCTGTGCCCTCAGGTCTTAAGTCACAAGGACACAGGATAAGCAGACAGGAATCATAAAAAGATATCGCCTTTGAACAAGGCAAATTATTAACTTTAGATAATGAACATTATCTGCTTCCCTCTTTTGACGAGAGCAAAGTCCAACACAATCAGGCAGAAAGGGGATTCACCAACGGCATTCTGACGCCTCCCAGTGGACAAGGGACGCCAGCACACCCGGATGGAAAACCCTTGGGCGCATATGGATGACGTCATCGGAAGTCTCCTACATTTAACCTCCCTGAAGGTCTTTGAGGACAGTCAGCACAGGGCGAGCGAGGGACATAGGCAGCATAGGAGCTCTTTTGTTGAATTTCTGTATCTGATTGTAAAGATAAATTAAATACAGATGTTAAACTTGGAAAAAGTCTTCGTCTTGTATCCTGCATAATCCTGGACACGTCCGTCAAAGTTTTTTTTGACATCACTCTCCAACAGGGATCAATAAAGTATTTGTTTATTGTTTATTCAGCTGGCCGAACGCCTTCTCCTTCCCGGGGTGTCCTTTGGGGGGTTCTCCGGGAGTACGGGGTCCGGGGTCCTCTGCTGAGGGCCATCCGATCCCTGTATGACCGGAGCCAGAGCTGTGTTCGCATTGCCGGCAGTAAGTCAGACCTGTTCCCGGTGCATGTTGGCCTCCGCCAGGGCTGCCCTTTGTCACCGGTTCTGTTCACTGTGTTTATGGACAGAATTTCTAGGCGCAGCCAGGGGTCGGAGGGGGTCCGGTTCAGGGACCACAGGATTTCATCTCTGCTGTTTGCGGATGATGTTGTCCTGTTGGCTCCAACGAACCAGGACCTACAACATGCACTGGGACGGTTTGCAGCCGAGTGTGAAGTGGCTGGGATGAGAATCAGCACCTCCAAATCTGAGGCCATGGTGCTCGACCGGAAAAAGGTGCCTTGCCCTCTGCAGGTGGGTGGAGAGGTCCTTCCTCAAGTGGAGGAGTTCAAGTATCTCGGGGTCTTGTTCACGAGTGAGGGAAGAATGGAGCGTGAGATTGACAGACGGATCGGTGCAGCGTGCGCAGTGATGCGGTCGCTGTATCGGACCGTTGTGGTAAAGAGGGAGCAGCATCTGCAGTCAGAGCTGTATCGGACCGTGGTGGTAAAGAGGGAGCAGCGTCTGCAGTCAGAGCTGTATCGGACCGTTGTGGTAAAGAGGGAGCAGCGTCTGCAGTCAGAGCTGTATCGGACCATTGTGGTAAAGAGGGAGCAGCGTCTGCAGTCAGAGCTGTATCGGACCGTGGTGGTAAAGAGGGAGCAGCGTCTGCAGTCAGAGCTGTATCGGACCGTTGTGGTAAAGAGGGAGCAGCGTCTGCAGTCAGAGCTGTATCGGACCGTTGTGGTAAAGAGGGAGCAGCGTCTGCAGTCAGAGCTGTATCGGACCGTTGTGGTAAAGAGGGAGCAGCGTCTGCAGTCAGAGCTGTATCGGACCGTGGTGGTAAAGAGGGAGCAGCGTCTGCAGTCAGAGCTGTATCGGACCGTTGTGGTAAAGAGGGAGCTGAGCCGAAAGGCAAAGCTCTCGATTTACCG